CCAAATTTTGATCAGGTTACAATAAAGACTTTGTCATCAACTCTTTCAACTTGTCTTCTTTTACAAAGAAAATGTTGCTTAATTCTTTTTTTCTTATTTCCTTTTTTTTTTTTGTTTGTCTTTCTTCATTTCCTGCTGATTTCGACGTTTTTAGAGCCACCATTTTTTTCTTCCATTTTGTTTTTCCTTCTGTTCGTTCTTTCTCTGCCTTTTATCAGGAAAAAAAGGCACACTTTTACGATCAAGTCACGCTAAAAGCAGCAATTTCTCGTCCAATTATCGAAGCTAAGTAACAACAAGTCTGATTAGTACTTAGACGGATAACCACTTACGAAAACTAGGAAGTAAGACCAGGACTCGTCAGACTGAAACAAATTTAAATTAGACAAAAAAGATATATTAATCCAGCAACGAAAAGCCAGCCAGGATGTAACCAACACAAACTTATTTATCACACGACCAATCTTATTTATCACACGAAAAATCTTATTTATCACACGAACAATCTTATTTATCACACAAAAAATATTATTTCTCACATGAAAAATCTTATTTACCACACCAAAAATCTTATTTATCACACCAAAAATCTTATTTCTCGCACGAAAAATCGTATTTATCACACGAACAATCTTATTTATCACACGAAAAATCGTATTTATCACACGAACAATCTTATCACACGAAAAATCTTATTTATCACACGAATAATCTTATTTATCACACGAAAAATTTTATTCATCACATGAACAATCTTATTTATCACACGACCAATCTTATTTATCACACCAAAAATCTTATTTATCACACGAATAATCTTATTTATCACACCAAAAATCTTATTTCTCACATGAAAAATCTTATTTATCACACGAAAAATATTTTTTATCACACGAACAATCTTATTTATCACACGAAAAATCTTATTCCTCACATGAACAATTTTATCACACGAACAATCTTATTTATCACACGAAAAATCTTATTTATCACACCAAAAATCTTATTTATCACACGAACAATCTTATTTATCACACGAAAAATCTTATTCATCACATGAACAATCTCATTTATCACACGAACAATCTTATTTATCATACGAAAAATCTTATTTATCACGCCAAAAATCTTATCACACGAACAATCTTATTTATCACACGAGCAATCTTCCTTATCACACGAAAATTTTTGATAATGACTGAAACAGTTGAAATTACTTGAACAAAGAAAAACATGAACTTTGGACAGTTTATACCGCAATTTTAATGATGTTCAACACCTTATTTGGAGGTTAGAAAAATACAATAAAAATTAAGTAGCCGGTTCAATTTAACAAAACTTGTTTCAATAGGATATATACATCTTTCAGGACGTAGGCGATCATGTCTCTCCACCTCCCTGTATCCCTTGTAGCTCTCTTCCCTCTGCTTCCTCCCCCAGACCACGTTCTGTCATCCACTTGCTTAAGCCCGTCAGGTATGTCACGTATTGTTTTCTCTTGTCTCTCTTTCCCTCTATTCGACCCGTGAGTATCAGATTCTCCAGGCCCTCTTTCCTCATTATGTGTCCCAGAAACTTCAGCTGCCTCTTCCTGATATTAAGTATAAACCTCCTCCTTGTTTTCAACCTCTCTAAGATTTCATCGTTGCTCACACGCTCGATCCATGATATTCCTTAGTATCATTCTGTAGAATCACATCTCTGTCGCCTCGAGTTTTTTCTTCATCTTTGAGGAAATCGTCCAACATTCGCTGCCGTAAAGAAGGACAGATGTCACATAACAGTTCAGTATTCTTGTCTTTGTTACCAAAGATATCCTCCTGTCACGTAGTACTCTGCCCAGCTTTTGGAATGTGTCCTTGGCCATCCCAATACGCCTACGGATCTCAGCGCCGCACTTACCGTCCTCTGTCAAGATGCTTCCCAGGTATTTAAACTTCCGCGTCTGCTTGATTCTAGTGTTCGCGACCTTCAAAACGCATTTCGGGTTCATCCTCTTACTGATCACCATGCCACTCCGTCTTCTTGTAGTTTATGCTTCGTCCTTTCTTCTCACTCTCCATCGTTACCTTCTGTAGGAGATTTTGTAATTTCATCTCCGTGTCTGTTATCAGTACTGTGACATCTGCGTATCTTATTTTGTTAAGACTGTGGACGCCAATACTAAATCCCGGTAGGGTTTCCAATTCTCTCAAGATTGCCTCGCTGTATAGGTTGAACAGGTCTGGTGAGAAGACGCATCCTTGCCTTACACCTCCTTCTAAGTTTGTATATTCACTGAAGTAGTCCCCTATGCGCATGCATGCTGTTTGCTGCCAGTAGAGGTTCTTGATTATTCTGATATCTTTCTCGAATATATTGAGGCTGCTGAGTAGTTCCATCCTTGTGGCGTACTTTGTCGAAGGCCTTTGCGTAGTCTATGGAACATAGGTACACGTCCTTCTGCATTTGTATCGCTCTTTCTGATAACATTCTGAGCATAAATATGGCGTTCCTTGTTCCGGTGTTTTTAACGAACCCGCACTGTTCTTGTCCTATTTCTGGGCTGATTCTGCAGCGCGTTCTGTTCATTAGAATACGGATGATGAGTTTTGTCACGTGGCTCATTAAGCTTATTGTTCGGTTGAGTTCGCATTCGTTTGCGCCTGTTTTTATAGCTACGAAGATAGATCTGCTGAGGTCTTCCGGTATATCACCGCTGTTGTAGATTTAAAAATGAAAATAACACTGACATCTCATTTTAACAGATATATTTAACAAAATAACACAAAATTATCTTGAAATACTAAAGTGTAGATTTATTCAATAAAATCGCCATTGGCTTCAACCTCCAAGCGACTTCGGAATCTCCTGCAACTCTTCTGGACAGTCTCCTTGTTTAAGTTGGTGAATGATGCCATAATCCTTGCCTTCAGTTCATCTTTCGTTTTACAAGGAGTTTTGTTGGTCTCCCGCTCAACTGCGACCCACACATTATAATCAAGGGGGTGTTGTAGTCTGGGGAATTGGATGGCCAGATATAAGGGGCTGATGTAGTCGCAGAAATTGTCTGACTGCCATGTCTTGGTTCTCCTGCTTGTGTAGCATGGTGCAGAATCCTGTTGCCAGACATAGGGTCTTCCAGCAGACACCTTCTTGATCCAGGGTAGCACTACCTCTTCAAAGTACTTGATGTAGGTCCCCCGAGTTGAGCCTGAGTTCCAGCGGGAAGTTAAATGGAGGCATAACGTCGCTGTCACTAGTAATCACTTCAAACACCTTCGTAATCACAATTAGACTCATCCATCTCTTTTTAAAATTCTCTGCACTGTCCTTAGATTGATACCGAAACACTCTGAAATGGAGCTTTCGCTCGCGAATGCCAAGAAGTACAGCATGCCGTTTCCAAATTTCTGGCGGAGTGAATTGTGTCTTGTGCTCTTTTTCTCACAGACCATGCCCAACTGACTCTACTATACTGTCCAGTCGAGAAAAAAAACAAAAAAAAACAAACAACGCGCATGCGCAAATTAAAAAGAAATTAAAATAAAATGGCGACAATTTACCCATCGCACCCTGTATATACATAAATACTTGTTTCCGACCACACCCGTCTACAAGTGTGGCTAGCATTTTTTTTTGTTCTTTTCAATATCCACATAGCCAACCCATGGCTTATACTACAACCATTCTGAGCAGACCTTACAGTTTCTGATAGAGCGCTCATATTCTGCTGTGATCAGCAGTTGAACAAAGCCAGTACGCTCACACTCTCGGTCACGATGACTTGTGACTTCGTGCTACAGAGAGGATATTTTTAGCAAATTTCACTCAAAGGTGGGTCAATCCGTGGTGTAGTTTTGAATCTCCAAGGCCGATAGCATCGAGACATCTTTACAAATTGACCCTGGTAAGATTCGAGCTCGGATCTCTTGGTCGATCACGGATGCCTGCATGTATGATTATTGCCGCATTTTACTCAGCTGAGTCCCGCTTCCTCACCCCTTGCATCATTTGTGATGGCTTCAACACATCCTCTTCACGCAATATGTGGGTGCTTTTTCTCACAGACGGTGTCCAACTTACCCTACTATACTGTTCAGTCGAAAAAAAAAAATCAAAAACAAACAACGCGCATGCGCAAATTTAAAAATATAAAACGGCGACAATTTACCCATCGCACCCTGTGTATACATAAATACTTAATACTATCAGAAACAAAAATACAGTTGACGTGTAAAAGTGAAAAAGCTACAAACGAGCCGTTTCGCCGACGTTTTTTTTTTTTTTTTTTTTTTTTGACTCGGCTTCTTCAGGTCAGCGTGAAGGACGAAATGATGGTCTTTCACTCTGTCTTGAAGAAGCTGAGACCAAAAGATGTCGGCGAAACGCTTCGTTTATAGCTATTTTTCGCTTTTTCTCATCATCCTCACCTCGTATGTATATACATTTTCTTGGTGACACAAAATTTGATTAAAGCTTGAATTAGCGGAGTCATGTTGAAAATTACGTCCAAAAGAAGAAAGATAAGATAAATGTATTTCTAACAATGAAAAGGCTTCATCTAAACAAACACTAAGATTAAATGAAACTTGAAATACAATAATTATAGTGAAAAGGCTTTATCTAAAAAGCAACAATAATAAGATGTAATAAAACTAGTGATAAAGTTATAATAAAAGAATGCCCTTGTGTCAGACTCAACAAAATTTAGTAAATATCAACAAACATGTCGAGACACCTCCTGGTGGGAAAATGGAAAAATATTTGATTGATTCTTTTTTTACTGCTTATCCAACTTTTTCAGGTTATTTAAAGCCAGAATTTTTGTTTTTGTTGTAAGAATTCTTTTAGGTAATGTTTAGTCTTGCGAATTAACCGAAAGATGAAAGGGAGAAAATGTGGGTTCATGCCTTTCCCAAGGGCATTTGCGCGTAAGTGAATATAACGTACCCAACGGGAATTGGAACACCGATTAACAATTCCGAGCCATTATCGCTAACACCACCCGTACATCTAAGCTTACGGCAGCTGGTATTCCCAAGCGGTTACCCATCTAGGTACCGACCAGGCTCGACGTTGCTTAACTTCGATGATCGTACGAGAACCGGTGTTTCAACGTGACGTAACCGCAAGCCATTTCTGGCTGCATATCCATGGTTACAGCACCTGGTATTCCCAAGCGGTCACCCATCTAGGTACTGACCAGGCTCGACGTTGCTTAACTTCGATGATCGTACGAGAACCGGTGTTTCAACGTGACGTAACCGCAAGCCATTTCTGGCTGCATATCCATGGTTACAGCACCTGGTATTCCCAAGCGGTCACCCATCTAGGTACTGACCAGGCTCGACGTTGCTTAACTTCGATGATCGTACGAGAACCGGTGTTTCAACGTGACGTAACCGCAAGCCATTTCGAACTGCATATCTAAGCTTACGACAGCTGGTATTCCCAAGCGGTCACCCATCTAGGTACTGACCAGGCTCGACGTTGCTTAACTTCGATGATCGTACGAGAACCAGTGTTTCAATGTGAAAGGCAAGTCCAGTTTATACATGGAAGTATTTTAATGTCTCTGTTTCATCAATCAGTGATTTGTAGGAAGAAGCTGATCGAGTTTAGCTTACTTCTCGCGGGTGGAAAGATGGAGGGTTTTGGCCGAGCCTACGGGCTCGGAGATACCCCCATTAAACCGGCCTTGTGCCATATTCAATCCTCGTGGGTGGATCGATAAATACTAAGATGGAGGGTTTGTAGGTGGTTTGCTTCTATGAATGTGGCATTGTGGGTCCTAGCCATGAAGGTCAGCCCTGGTGGAACCAGGAGATGCAGTTCGTCCGAGCATTTTCCACGGTAGTAACGATAGAGCAGGGAGAGACTCGTCACATCCCTCCTGTGAAAGAGAGGTTAGAGGGAGGAAAATGATTCTTTTCCAGCAAGAACTCAGCAAGAGATGCTTTTGAACTCTATCAAGACTGGAAAGTGAGGACTGGGCCGATCCTGCCTAAATATGGCAACAGTACTCTATTTTCGGCCTGATCTGACTCTTATAAAGGTAGAGGACAATGCAGATATACTGCGGATGATCTAGCAATCATTGCACTTTATCCGTCCTGGGTATGACGATAAACTACATCCAGCAGCAGTGCCTCTGATCAGGAGGTTTTGAGGACCGTGGAACCACCTGTTAATTGCTGGTGTTCCTAGGTCCACCCTGACTCGGGGTGGTAGCACCTGTTAGGATCCCAGCTATGGGTAAATAGTTAATCACCAAATTGGGGTCAAAACACTATGAAAATGTAAAAATAGGTTTTAATACCAGAATACTTTATAAAAATTATTACCAGCAATAAATTTTCGAAGGAAAATTATTACCAACAATACATTATTACCAGCAATAAGTATTTGAAGAAAATTATTACCAGCAATACATTATTACCAGCAATACAATTTTGAAAAAAAATATTACCAGCAATAAAAATTTTGTGGGCGTTAAATAACCCATTAAGGTTGTGTTATGGTCCGGTTCCTTGTACCACGGGGGTAGTCCAAGGTAGAACCAATAAAGAAGAACTCGAACACAGGTATGGAATAACACAGATATATTACAACAGGGATATATACAAAGTAGAAGTGTTAGTCTGAACAATCAGGTTTAGTAGAGAGAACAATGTAGTCTCGACCAGTATCACTATTCCAATGTCTTGCAGTAATTGTCTGAACGCGATTCTGTTTCGGACTGCCTCTGACTCGACTCTTAACTCGACTTGAACTACTGACTCCGCTTGAACTACTGACCCCCTTGCCTACCCCATGAGGCTCAGTATTTATTAAGTATGGAATAATCCATTATTATTATTATGGGTAAGATATGGGTAACAGGTTGATATGCCGTAAAACAAACCAAACCAAACCAATCATTGCACTTTACACACATTTTCACCTTTTGATATATTTTACATTTTCAGTATTATAATAATTTTCCAGTTTGATAGGAAGTAAAAGCCTAAATCCGTGCCCATACATAGAAAGGATTAGTCTTTAAAAACAAGAAAGAAGTAACCGACGCAAATTATGATAATCTAATAAAAGATATATTATTAAATTAAAAATGGCTTCGTGTGAATGAAGATTGTTGGTCTTAAAGAGGATCATCCTTCTTCGATCATCGTGGATTCTGTAGGGCCTACAGCATCACAAAGAACTGTACCAAATAACAGAAACCATATCACTTGAGACCTATCAACAGCAGTAACATCTAAAATGAATAGTACATGAACTCAAAGAGAAAATAATAATCAAGATACTGAGGTTCGACACTACTTCAAAGAAAAATTTAGGAAGGAACCCACCATCAGAAGGAGCGATAACAGTTATTGGACTTGAGAAACCTATTTTCCACAAAAAGATTTTATAAATTTCAACCGACAGTAGCCTTTTGGTCAGTGAATGCCAAATGTTTCTTTATAAGGAAACGGTTAATATTACCATCATCATTACCATTTATAGGAGTAAACGATTATATTATAGAGGAATTGAAACTGGAGCTTTTTGATTGGACAAGACTTGCCTATATGGGTATCGCTTCAGAAGAACCAGTTCATCACCAAGCAGACCCTGAATTTTCAACGATCATGATGAACGACTGTTCTACCAGTGTCACACAATGTCTTGAACGTCTGCTGGGACTTAATTAAGACTTCAAGTGGAACTCATACATATGATTCATTGCCGGGGAAAGAGTTAACTGTACCGTATTTGGCGGCATTCAAGGCGCACTTTTCTTTACTAAAAATATCTTTTAAAATTCCTCTGCGTCTTATAAGCCTTATATAGTTTGAAGATTCGCGATAGTCGGCCACAATTAGCTACCTGACAACTCTTATTAGCTTAGACTTTAGAGTAACTTTCATATACTTATATAGGATATTATGCAGATTAAACGTGTTATCATTGATAATATTGATTATATCAGTTTCATCATGTTTAATATTAGCACTTTGTTTCAATAAAATTATATACAAATAAATTCAAATTATATACTTGTAAAATATATTTGTTTCATTAATATTTTTCTTGCGATAACTTCCGGTTACAAGGTGCAGGTTGTACAGATCCGATAAAGGATATAATAAAGTTTTTATAGGGTCGTGTTCTTTTTTCCTATTATTTTTCGTTTAATTGTAATCATGGCTTGTTTAACCAAAATAGTACCTCATAAATATAGCCTAGGCTGTACCATTTACTAATAATTTAATAATTACTAATTTTTTCTTGATTTTCCCTGCTGAAATTGGGATGCATCTTATACACCCGTGCGTCTTATACGCCCGTGCGTCTTATACACCCGTGCGTCTTATATGCCTTCAAATACGGTACGTGATTCCACATGCTGCTCACTACCTTTACCAGATGAAGCCGAAAATGGCGTACTGCTGCCATATATGGACAGAAGCTGCTCAGCCTCGATAGACTCCAAAAGTGCCACCGCGTCCTTGTGGGTGGTGAATTATTTTCCACCGTGAAACTCCTTCCCCACTCTCGCTGCTCTGTCGTTATTTCTATTGAAATTGTGCAGACGATCTACATTCTTTAGTTCTACCAGTTTTAACCTTCACGACTAAAAACCGCCATGTCACGCACATAGCAGCGAACCGCCTTCATTTCCTTCGTATTCCGCTGATGAGATGCAAGTCCTACTCGAGTACCTTCTTCCCGCGGACAGCTACTTTGTGGAATCGACTCCCAAGAGGATGCTTCCTCTATCACTGCAATCGTAACATATTCAAGTCTAAGGTTATCTTCCCTACATCCCGCATAAGCTGTCTTAATTTTCTCTGCTGAAATTGGGATGCGTCTTATACACCCGTGCGTCTTATACACTCGTCCGTCTTATACACCCGTGCGTCTTATACACTCGTCCGTCTTATACACCCGTGCGTCTTATATGACTTCAAATGCGGTACGTGATTCCACATGCTGTCAAGTCTAATGTTAATCTTCAAGTCTAAGGTTATCTTCCCCACATACGGCATAAGCTGTGCTTCTTACTCTCTATCTCGGGCCTTCTATATGGAGAATGTCATTGTAAAAAAAACGGTTAGGAAAGAAGATTGTAGGTCTTAGCAAGGATCATCCTCCTTCGAACATCATGGATTGGCGCTACAGAATCACAAAGAACTCTACCAAATAATATCACTTGAAAACTATCAACACCGACTAAAATGAATAGCACATGTAACTCGAATTGAAAATAATAACATAATCAAGATACTGACGTTCTACACTACGTCAAACAAAAGGTTAGGAAGGAAACCGCCATCAGTACTGGAAAGAGCAATAACAGCTACTGGACTGGAGAAATCTATTTTCCTGAAAAATTATTATTATTATATAGAGAAAAATTTTATAAATTTCAACTGATAATAGCATTGGCGACTCGGTCAATGCATGACCAAAGTTTCCTTATAAGGAAATGGCTAATATTACCAATTTTGGGAGCAAACGATTATATTTAGAGGGCATTACAGAGGAATTGAAACTAGGGCTTTTGATTTAAAAAGAGGTACAGGGTTATCACTCCTGAAGAACCCGTTGATATCTGTTTTCGTTTTGCATTTTTTTACGTTTAAAGAAAGGAATTTTACGTTTAAAGATGGAGGCATTAGTCAGGCTGATTTGATAATGAACGCTTATTCATAGTTATAAGAATAAAATTAATGAGAATCTTTCAAAATTTGGCAGTTTTATCTTTTTTTTTTTCTTTCGGGAAGAACGCAGACGGGGTGGGAAGGAAAAAGCGCTGTCGGCACATGTTTGAGTAATTTATATTTTTATAGACGGCTGGATTGAGAATGTGGTTAAATTTGTTTATAAAGCGTTGATAATCCGTATTGTCAGAGGTGGCGGGCGAGGCGTTCAACCAGGATAATATAAGACGGTGGGGGTATGTGTGGTATGAAACGGAAGAAGTAATGGGATGGTGTGGGGGATTCGTGCTTCCGTGAGAGGAAGGGAGAGGGATAAAGAGATAGAGAAGAAAAGAGAGCAATGACATGTAGGGCGAAGTGGAAAGATGACTGAAGAGAGACGGAGGGGGAGAGAGAGTGTAATGATATGAGGAGAGGGGAGATAGAAGGGCGGGGAGGAGAAGGAAGAGGAGAGAGAGAGACAGAGTGAGAGAGAGAGCAATGGCTGGGAGAAGAAAAACCCGGCCTTATATTTGTGGAATTTCCACACTGATTGGCGTTCAATCCCAGGTAAAAATAAATAAATAAATAAATAACAGAATTTCAAATGTTGATTTTCCAGGTAGGCACACCGACATGCCTTCGTGTCTTGGAAGATTGGCGCAACAATATCTTCTTATCCGCATTCGGCTAGGTTTGAGGACAAAAAGTGCGACACTGAGATCCGAAGAGGCATTGCGATGGCCAAAGATGCCTTCCAAAAGCTAAGCAGAGTATTAAGAGACAAAAAACTTGAAGCAACAGAAATGTGGTTTTACAAAAAAATGCTATGGATACCCCGA